ATCCATATACATTTGCGCGGCCTCTCGCGCCAGAATAGAGGCGGTACGGGTTAAGGGGACTCTGATTGATTGTGGCCCCTTCATTGCAGGGGCGCGCGCGGCTGCCCCTGGCAGAGGGGACGGGCGATCACGAAACCGATTATCTTAAGGGGAAATTCTCTTTGGAGAATTCTCTTAAGAGAATTCTCTTAAGAGAATTCTCTTAAGAGAATTCTCCTAAGAGAATTCTCTTAAGAGAATTGTGTGGATGTCTCAGGCAAAACCAACAATTCTCTTAAGAGAATTCTCTTAAGAGAATTCTCCTAAGAGAATTCTCTTAAGAGAATCTCTCTCAAGGTCGCTTGCAGTGCACCCCCCCTCGCTGCATGGGGGCCAGACGAGTCCCGCTGAGGGGCGAAACGCCCCTGGCTGAGGGTGGGGGGGGGAGGGGGCGGGGCTGGACCGTATCTGACGGGCCCCCTAGGGGGGTTTGGGGGCGCGGTGTTCCTGATTGAGGGGGGGCCCTGAAACATCTTTGACGGGCCCCTTGCGGAGGGGCACCGCCGTCCTTTACTGAGGGTGAGCCCCTTTAATGAGGGGGGGCAGTGTGAGCAGGGGCAGCAGGGGGGAGCAGTAGCATTGCATCATGGGTGAGTCGTTCGGGCCCCTGTGCTTGCCTGCCGCGCAAAGCAATCCAGAGAGGGGGGTGCCCCTTTTTGAGGGGGCGCGCACCCCTTACTGAGGGGGAGGCCCTGGCACACCCCCTCCCCCTCCCCGCCTCACCGCTGATGAGGTAGCACCCCTTCTCTTCGAGGGGGAGGAGGCGACCGCGTGGGTTGCGAGCCCCTTCGAGGGGAGAGAAACGAACCCCTGGCTGAGGGGAAGGCTCGACGATACTGAAATGTACCACCACACACGCCACACCCACAGCACCACACCACACCCACACGCACCACTGAAGTGCGCGGGGAAGGCCCCCGACGATCTACTTGCCATTCGCAGGCGTTTCGGCTGCCGCAGGGCATTTCGATTTTGCTGCTGTATCCCAAATTTCAGGGGTCAGTCCCGCGGCAGCCATGCCCGCCCCAGGAGTAGTCTCTCCTCTGCTCCTGCTGGGCACTCTCCTCACACCGTTGTGCAGCATGGCGCCGAAGAAGAAGATCGAGGGCCAGGGCGCACCAGCGGCGAAGAAGTCGAAGGCGGCCCCGAAGGGGCACGGGCTCGACAAGCAGGAGGCCGACAAGATGAGGGCGTGGCTCAAGTACCAGTCGGAGAAGAAGGACGGCAGCGGGAAACCTACGAGCACAGCAGAATCCGCCAGAGCAGCCCAGGCGCTTTGGAACGGGATGAAGGACCCAGCCGATCGGAAGCGTTTCTTGCAGACCTTCGCGAGTGACAAGGATAAGACACTTGACTGGTTGGCCACCTTCGAAGAGAGATGCACGAATGAAGAGGTGCACACGCGCTCTGCCAAGAAAGGGTACCGGAATGTATCGCAGGCACTGGCCCTCAAGAACCTCACCATCAAAGACTTTGCGAACATCCAGGAAGCCACTGCCTTCGTGCAGGAATGGTGGGAGGAGAACAGCGAAGAGCATGGCACCAAAGAAGAATTCCCCATCAAGGAAGATGTCAAGGACAGGCCTCTGTGGAAGGAGTGGTACTTCGTCGAGCGCAACATGGACGATGACCAGCTGGTGACGAAGGACTCGCGCACCTTCAAGGGGACGTCCAACCTGAAGAACCTGAAGCAACTCGAAGCTGCAGGCATCAGGATGGCCGAGCTCCCGTCGTCCAGCGCTTCGGGGTCGGGTGGGGGCGGCGAGGTGAAGATCGAGAATCCGCACTGGCCAGAGATCGTGAGTAAGAAGGACGAGATCGCGCGCCGTCCTCGGCAGCCGCCCCCTGCCCTTCCATCTCTGGTGCTCTGCCAGACCCCTCCCAGAGGGGGGCCCTCTCCCCCGCCACGCCCCCGCCGCCCCTCCTGGAGGGGATGGCGATAGAAAATGGTTCGTATCCGTTCTGTCGTGCGTTGTTTGCGTTGAAAAGCATGTCGGCGCATTGCTTGTTTATGATCCCTACCAAGGCAAATGCTGGTCAAGTATCAGAAGGAGCTGAAGTTCCTAAAGCACACGAAGAATCAGTTGCTCGCGAAGGCTGGGGATCAGGATCAGAAGGACCGTCTGAGCTTCCAGAACTGGGCCAATGAGTGCAAGAAGTGCGTGGACAATGCGGACCAGCACGAGACGGCGATGGAGGTTCTGATTGCGAAAATTGAGGGCGCTGATTCTGTCGGCAAGGACACGGACATGTACGATAAGCTGAAGAATGAGGTCCAGGCCGCCTACAACACACACGAGCACATGTACGAGGGCATTCAGCTCTCGGTCAAGCGCTTCAAGAAGTTCCTCAATTGAGCTGCGGCCCTACATCTACATCTACATATCAGTATTTACATGCATATATGCAGTAGGGTTTGAGATGCTCTGCCTCGCCCGACGACGCGCATGCAGCGCTGCCTTTCCGACGCCCGTGGGAAAACGAGAACTTGCCGCTTCCTCTGCCAGGGGTGCCCCTTCGTGAGGGGCCGCGTGTTTCTGGGTTTGCCAGTAAAGAAGCCCCCCTCATCGCAGGGGCGCGGGGGGAGGGGGGGGCGGGGGGGAGGGGGGCTTGGTATCATCAGGAGGGGAGTAGCAGGAGGGGAGGGGCATGAAAGGGATTGAAGGAGGGCGCGGAGGAGGGGCGCGGGAAAGGGCAAGGGCCCCTTGCCTCATCCGCGCATGTCCGTAGCCACTGCAGTGGCTCAAGGCCGCCGCGCTCGCGCCTGTCTCCCGCGGGCCCCGCGGGATGCTTTCCAGGCGGCGGTTGCCTTATGACAGGTTGGGCTTGCCGCCGGAGAGGCGGCTGAGAGCGAACGTGCAGGACCTGATAAGCAGCAACGTGGTCAGCGGGCAGCGCGGCGCTCAGCTGATCAATGACTGCGTCTCTGCATCTGCGACAGGTCTCTCCGACCTGCACACTACGGAGTCAACGTCGGGCATGAAAAACGCTGCCAGGAAGTTCAGGCGGGATTTCTTCAGGAAAGGGTGGCCTCCGCTCTATCACTGCCAGGTGAGGGGCTGGGACCCCAAGTCTGAAACAGAACAACTGATGGACTTAGCGATGATGCTTCCTCACGAAATACTTCATCAACTTCATCATTTTGGCGAGCGGAGCGTGCTACTGGAGACGTCGAGTCTCGACGGCGTGTCTCTGCGCCACGTGCAAAGAGCCAGGGCGGAGAGTGGTTGCAACGACCTGGTGGCCCTGGGCGTGTGGCAGGACGGGGTCCCTTGCTTTTGGGACCGATCGATGAGCGCAGAGATCATCAGCCTCATGTTGCCAGGGGCTGCGGGGCGCTGGAAAAACCTGCGGGTCCCAATCACAGCGTTCCTCAAAGAGCACGTGGGCCCCAACACATTTGATGATGTTTTTGCAGTGGTGCAGTGGAGCTTTGTTCACTTGGCTGCGAAGCGCTGGCCGGCGGCACGGCACGACGGCTCTCCCTTCGGCGCGCAGGACGCCTGGAGGAAGCGCCGACAAGTGGCCGATGCAACCCTACCAATTGGCGGAGTGCTTTGCCAGATCAAAGGGGACTGGAAGATGATGAAGGAGGTGCTCAAGCTACCTGGCTGGCAAGATGACGAAGTATGCTTCCTGTGCAACATCAAGAAGGACGAGGCCATGGGAGCGCAACACATCAGGGGAGGAAGGAAATCCCCTCTGGGAGGGGGTGCGTCGTCGTCGTTTTGCGGCCCCTTCAGGGGGGGTGGAGGAGGAGGGGGAGGAGGGGTGGAGGAGGAGGAGGAGGAGGAGGAGGAGTGTTTTTGGCTACTCCCCGCAGGTGAAATCGCAGACTGGGAGAGACGCGCCGTGGAGAACGCACCGACGCACATGGCCAGAAGTCCTTGCGAAGATTATCGTTTCAGGCGAGCAGGTGTGCCCTCTCTTCCAAGTGCCGTATGCGAACGAAAAGTTGCTGAAGCTAGATTGGTTACACGTTGTTGATCTTGGAGTAGCGGCTGACTTCATAGGGGGTTTGCTATGGTATCTTGTAACGCACAAAAAGGTGGCTGGAACTACCCAGAAAGGCCGCGTCTCCACACTACATGGTCATTTGATGGCGTTCTACGACAGGCAGCCGCCAGGTGAGAAGACCAGCCGCCTATCGAGACTGACGCGGGGCGTTGTGAAAGGAAAAAAAGCAACGACGGCTAAGATGAGGTGCGGCGCGGGGATGCTCAGGCACATGGTTCCATGGGCATTGGAGATGGCGGAGGCTTTCCTTGATAGGAGGAATGGCGTCGACGAGCGGGCAGCTGTAGAATCGTCCATTCACGCAGGGATGAAAAGCTTATGTCGGTGTTACGAGGCACTCTCTGACAATCACCCATTTGCTGTGGACATTCTTAGAGAGCATTCGAGTAAGTTTGCCACGCAGACGGCCGCTTTGCAAGACGCGCTTCCTGCCCATTTTAAAGTGAAGCCTAAAATGCACATGTTTCTGGAGCTGTGCATGGGCGGCGGTGAACCAGCGAAGCACTGGAACTATAGGGATGAGGATTTCGGTGGATCTGTAGCTGCATTTGGCCGAAGGAGGGGCCAAAGGAGGTCCATGAGAGCGTTTTCGGTGGCATGCATCTCTAAGTTCTGCGGCCAGCCGATTGTGCGCATGCTTTGAAAAGAACGCTTCTGTGTGTATCGTTGTCATTCATTGCTGTCGGCTCAAATATATGTTGGACCCCTCCCAGTGGGGCGAGCGCGAGCATGGGCGCTGAAGCCCCGTTTGCCCCAAAACGGCGGGTCGAACTATTTTCGGCGCGCCCGAACTATAGTTCGACCCGCAGAAAAGTATAACCCCCGCATTATAGTTCGACCCCGCACTATAGATCGACCTTGGAGTCTCAAGGAAGGAGGCGTTCGGCGTCAGCCCCTGCGCCTTGGGGCTCTCGAGCGCCGCCCACGCCTGCCTGGGCGCGCAGGACATCTGGGGAGCTCCTGTACCCCTCGGGCTGTCCGTGCATGACGGCAGCCGGCCTGGCCTTCGCGTTGGGCGCACTGCTGGTGCTGGCGGCGCAGGCCTTGTGCTGCTCTTGCTACGTGACCTGCAGGCTGGTGCTGACGGGCGCTTCCGTGCTCAGACAGCCGGGCCCTCAGGAGGTTCTTGCCCCCTTGGTGCAGGACCGACAAGATGCGCGCGGCTCCGAGAAAGCGAAGGTCATTGGTGGGGCTGAAGCCCGGGGACGTGGTCTTCGTCAACTACGGGGTGGACGAGGAAACCTGGCATGAACGCCTAATCCTCGCGGTCGTAAACCACTGCTATTACATCATCTTGACCCCAGATGGGGACATCTACGCGGAGACCATCAGCCTGGAGTACCTCCATGACTTCAGGGAGGGGGGCCCCCGAGGGGGGCTTCCCCCTGGGCTGGGCGCGGCGCGCGGCCAGCCCGTGTACCGCTTCTCGTCGAGGCCGGTCGGGCAGGAGCTGCAGGACTTGTTCGAGGAGGGCCGCGCCAAGGCGGCCGAGGAGAGGCGCACGATGGGCATTCTGGAGGACAAGCCGGAGCCGCCACCAGCGTCGGCGGGAGCCGGCGCGAGCGGGGCTCCCCCCCTGCCTCCCTTGGCGGGTTCGCCTCCTGCTGGGTCAAGCTCGGAGCTCTTCAAGTGGGTGTGTGGCGCGGTCGGCACAGGTGAGTGTTGGCAACACCTTCATGCTTGCGGCGCAGCACCACACACCATCGGACAGCTTCGTGAGCTGCGGCTCGGTGGGCCTGTATGACATGGGCCTGCGAGGTGATCCCGCGGTGCTCTACCGCGTGGAAGTGGGGGAGCAGGAGGTTGAGATGATCGAGCACTTCAGGCGCTTGACGAAGAAGGACGGCGACGTCGAGGGCACGGACACTCCCCCGGTGCGAGCGCCAGGAGTATCCAGCGCCGAGGACGCCCGCACCTTGCCTGTGCTGCGCGACAGCGCGGGACGGCGCTTCAGGGACATGAAGAGTGTGGCGAACAGTTCGGAGATGTGTGCCTTCGACGACTGGGTGCTGGAGGGGCCGCGTACGGCATTGTACCTGGTGAAGGAGATAGCTAAGCAGGCGGCGGGTCCCCTCCAGCGTCACTCGACCTGGAAGCACGAGAACAAGCTGCAGGATGACGAGCACAATGCGGTGACGCACGAGATGCTTTCGGATATCCTTGAGCTGGCGACGACGTTCGACCAGCTCGACGTGTCGAACTTGGCGAGCATGGAGAGCCTGTGCCGCCACATCCAGTACATCGAGCAGCGCATCAAGAAGAAGCGGGAGGCCGGGAAGGACTTCGACCTGCAGGACTACTACCTGGGCAGGACGCGGCGCACCGGCGGCGCGCTGATGGCCCCGGAGCTTCAGAAGTGGGTGGCCGAGTCGGCGGCCCGTGATTCGTCCATCTTGAAGGAGGAGAGGAAGGCCGCCGAGGAGCGTGCGCTTGCGCGCGCTCCAAAGAAGTCATGATGGACCCAAGATCCGGGGGCTGGCCGTCCCGGGTCGCAGATTCAGGCCGTATCATGGAGAGGGTAGTGCCGCGGGACCTGTTCCCCTTGCCCGAGGTGACCTACAGCTCTCCTGAACAGCGCCGAGGTCCTCGCCGTGCTGCCCAACGTCTGGGCAGGGAGGCGGCCATCGGCCGACGCTCGAACGACTGCATCGCCGCCCTCAACAACCTGTATGGGGACGGCTCGTTTTTGCCTGGAGGAAGACCCTCTCAGGCACAGTTCTCGGCGCTTGACGGCATCCTGCGCGCGGTCACCGATGACACGCCGCCGGGCCCGTTGCCCGCCCCCGAGGCAGCCCTTCAGGAGTTGCTCGGTACCGAGGCCCTCGGCTGCGCGTCTGAGGACCTTTCCGTGGTTGCACCGTATGATCGCGGCTTGGTCTCGTGGCCGGACACCGCAGGCTCGGTGAACTTGCTGGACGTGTTGCCAGACCCTGACCGCCAGGAGGTGATCGACGGTCCCCGTGCGCTTTTGCTTCGGGCTGAGGAGGAGCCGCCAGCGACCTGCAAGGTCTACTGGGACAAGACGCTCAAGGCGGACAGAGGCGAGTACGTCAGGTTCGTACAGGACCTGCTGAACAGGGGCATGGTGGAGCTCCGTACTCGCCGTGATTTTGAGGTTGGGATATTCTTCGCGCGCAAGAAGTCAGGCAAGTTGCGCCTGATAGTGGACGCCAGGTCCGTCAATCAGAACCTCGGGCGGCCCACTTCAATCCAGCTGGCGTCGACCGCGGCGATGGTCGGGCTGGAAGCGGAGCCTGGGGACATGCTAGAGTTCTCGATTCAGGACATTGCTGATTGCTTCTACCAGTTCAAAGTGCCGGACTGCATGGTGCAGCGGTTCGGGATGAAGCCCGTCAGGGCTGGCGAGGTGGGGGCCAAGACCGTGCAGGGCGAGCCGGTCCTTGCAGGCGCCTGGGTCTACCCCTGTCTGCGGGTGCTGCCCATGGGCTTCTCGTGGGCCATGAGATGGGCGCAGCAGGCTCATCGAGAGCTGCTGCGCCGGGCAGGGCTTGGGGGCATCGAGAGCGAGCTGGTGGACCGCCAGGTGCCCCCGTCGGCCTCGGCAGCGCCTGTCCCCCGCATCGTTTACGTGGATAACGAGGTCTTCGTCTCGTCTCGCCCAGGTGCCTCTGCCGACGTCAGGCGACTGGCGGCCAAGAAGATGTCCAACATCGGGCTGCCGCTGCACGAGGTGGAGGAGGGCAAGCATGTTGTCGAAGCGCTGGGCCTGGAGCTGGACGGCATCAAGCTTCGGCGCCGCCTGGCCTCCTCCAAGCGGTGGCGGCTGGTGCAAGGCACGCGTGCGCTTTTGAGGCGGCGGCTAGTGGCCGGCAGGGAGGTCGAGAAGCTGATCGGCCACTTCCCGCATGCCATGTTGCTGAACCGCCCAACGCTTTGTATCTTCCGCTCCGCCTACGACTACGCTCGGAAGCACTACCGGGCGCCTAGCTTGCTCTGGCCTTCAGTGAGGCAGGAGCTGCAGAATGCCATGCACATCATGCCGCTGCTCGCGGTGCAATTCGATATGCCGCGGTCAGGTTGGTCACATGCTCCGACGCTACGCGGAGGGGCTACGCCGTGCAGGAGGCTGACTTCCCGGTGTCTGAGGTCAGGCAGGTGGGGCGCTGGAGTGAACGCTGGCGCTTCAAGGTCGAGGGGGCCGGCCGGCCTCGGGAGCGGGCGTTGGGCGGATCTCTGCCGCTCGATGGACTCGATGCTTTAGCTGAGAATGGAGATCACTACGACGACGACATTGCCATTAGCATCAATCATCAATTCCCTGAGCTACCAGCATCGTTCACCAAGGAGGAGGTTAATTGGAGGACTATACAAGCAAGGAGGTATCACAGGAAGGAGGCAATCCACCTGAAGGAGTTGAGGGCGGTGTTATTTGGGTGGAGGCGCAAATGCAGGCAAGCTAAACATCATCATAAGTATCATCTATTTCTGTGTGACAACATGGGCATGGTTCTAAGTCTGGAGAAGGGGCGGGCTGTGTCTGTACCCGTACTCTTTCTGCTCCGAAAGTGGGCCGCTCTTTCTCTGGCCACCTTCTCTCGCACCTGTGTGAGATGGTCTGCGAGCGAGCTGAACCCCAGCGATGAGCCCAGCCGATGGTTCGACACGCCTGCTGAGAAGGCGGCTGCAGCTGCGCTGGGAGCCCACCGGCGTGAGGCTCACGGAGAGGTGCCTGAGGCGTGTAGCAGCGCCTCCCGCGCTGGCTGGTGCAGGCGCGCCTGGCCCCCCCCCCGCCGCCGGCGAGCCGGCTCCCGAGAGACAGCTGCAGCGTCGGAGCGGCCCGGTGCCCAGCGCGGTCGTCGGGCCATGGCAGAGTGGCGGCGGCCCAGGTTACCTCGACAAGGCGGCTGCGCGGCTCATCGACGAGGTCTCGCCGATCCCCTGCGAGGTCGAGAGGCCTCCTCCCGCCTCTGGCGGCTGGGGCGAGGGACCGGGCTCGAGCGAGGATCGCTGGTACTGGTGGGCCGACCGTCCTGGAGCAGGAGAGCGCAACGGCGAAGACCAAGGAGGACTACGAGCGGAGGCTGGAGCGGTTCTTCGGCTTCTGCAGCATCAACGGCCTGGCGCTCGACACCGACCCGCTGCTCGAGGAGGCCCTGGCGGAGTACATGGACCTCCTGTTCGCGCAGGGGGGGCCCTGCAACAGCGGGGCCAAGCTGCTGGCGGCGGTGGGCCATCGCTGGCCAAGGCTCCATCATGCCGGGCGGTTGCTGAAGCTGCCGAGGGTGGCGAAGGCGCTGCAGGGCTGGCGACGCCTGGTGCCGCCCGTGACGCGGGCGCCCGTGCCGTGGGCCGCCGTGGCGGCCATCGCGCTGGCCCTGGTCAGGTGCAAGCAGCCACTGGCGGCTCTGGCAGTGGTGCTGGCGGCAGACGCCTACCTTCGGCCAGGCGAGCTGCTGTCGCTCCGGGCCAACCATGTGGTCCCAGCCCAGGCGACGGCCGGGGGCGACTACCGCTTCGCGTCGCTGGTGCTGAGGCCAGAGGAGGAGCTGCAGCCGACCAAGACGAGAGGCTTCAACGACTCGATCCTTCTGGACAGCGTGTCGAGGCCCTACCTGGGCGTGCTGGTGGAGCGGCTGGCGAAGCAGAAGGGCTTCTCGGCGGAGCTCCTCTTTCCGTGGTCGGCCGCGGCTTTCACTGCCATGTTCAAGCGTGCCGCGGCCGACGTCGGCCTGGAGGCTTGGGAACTCACGCCGTACATCCTCAGACATGCAGGCCCGTCACACGACTGGCTGACCAAGGCTCGGTCCCTGGACGGCATCAAACGGCGCGGAAGGTGGATCTCCGACATGAGTGTTCGGAGGTACGAGAAGAGCTCGCGGGTAATGCGGCGCCTGGCGACACTGCCGCGAGATTGTCAGCTGCTGTTGGCCGAGTCGGCCAACAACCTCGAGGCAGGGCTCAGGTTCGGGCACGTCGGCAGGTTCGAGAGCAGGCGCCAAGACGCAGGCCTCGTGTGA